GACAACTTTTAATAACATTTTCTCTAACTCAATGCCTGTCATCCTAGCACTCTGGGAAGCTGAGGATTGCTTGAGCTCAGGAGTTTGAGAGCAGCCTGAGCCAGAGCGAGACTCCCGTCTCTACTAAAAATAGAAAAATTAGCTGGGCATTATGGCAGGTGCCTGTAGTTCCAGCTACTTGGGAGGCTCAGGCAGGAGGATTGCTTGAACCTCAGAGTTTGAGGTTGCAGTGAGGTAGGCTGACACCATGGTACTCTAACCTGGGTCATTGGAATGAGATTCTGTCTCAAAATAAAAAAATTTCTAAATGAAATTGTATCTAACAGAAATTGATTCTTTAAAAATAGAGTCCTGGAGGATAGGAGGGAGGAAAAAAGTGGCGTCACAAGCCAGGTGCATTTGTGCTGTAGTCCCAGCTATCCAGCTTACTTGGGAGGCTGAGGCAGGAGGATTGCTTGAGCCCAGGAGTTCAAGCCCAGCCTAGATAGTGAGACCTCATCTCTAACAAAACCCCAAACAAAAAAATAAAACTAGATGATTTTATTTGATTTGCCTTTTATGGTGATTTTGCAAATTGGTTTCATTAAATTTACTTGGTGAATGTTTATGACATATTATTTTGGTTATATATGATTAAAATTTACTATAGTCTCTTTAGCAATTTTGCATTTTATCCATAAACTGACACTTGTCTTGGGTTACATAATTTTTTAATAAATATCATTGTTAATAGTGGCATTCCCCTAAATATTTAGAAAATTTGTATTTGTTAAGAATTCCTCTTTAATATATACTAACTAGGGGTTTTTCATGCATACTCTTCTTTCTGTTAGTCTCTTGCATGTAAGAATATTACTATTTTCTAAATTTTTAAACTGGTTTGAATGTTAGTTAGCTAATTTCTAAAATATTTTTATCCAAACCCTCTTATTTATCTTCTCATATATTTGCACGTACTGATTTTACATTATTTAGTTTTTGCTTTTTGGCAGATTTGAGATAAGGCATTAGACTTATACATTATAACTAACACTTTAGAAATTTAGAAAGTGGAGATAGTAATTCACTATAGCTTTTAAAAATAATTACCTTACTTGATACTACTTGGATATTTCTTTCCTATTTTTTTTTTTTGTTGTTGTTAATCAGGCCCAGAGAAGGTTCAAACTAGCTGCCCTTGTGTGTGGGGCTAGTGTGCTAACCACTGAGCAGGCATCAGCTACTTGATACTACTTAGATGATATTTCCTTTATGAAATCCATTTTTTCATTGGTATTGATTTCAGTTATGAATGCCCCCAGTTTAGGTCCTTAGTATGCAATAACCAAATAATCAATCTCACATCTCGCAGGTTGTTTTGAGTTTTAATGCAAATATTTGACAGTGGTTTAACATACAAAGTGATTAAATAAATATATAAAAGTACAATTTTATTAGACATATGTCAGGAAGTCTGTTGTATTGACTGATCTTTTGGGGACTTTATAGATAAACTTTCCAAGGACGTTGTTCATTTCTGCAGTCTAGTGCATAGCTTAATATTGAGATATTTAATATTTTTTAACCTTTTGTTTGGAGGTACTTAAAAAGTAGTGTTGGTTCTTGTACCATTCGTTGTTATGTTTGTCTTCATTAGTTATTGTTGTGTGTTAAACAGACATCCCTGGAGCTTATTCTCCACACTTTGTGAATCCACTCATTAATCACCAGTCACCTTTGGAGATGGGAAAATTACTTACCTGTATTTCTTTTTCTCAGAAAGCGTGCTCTGGAATGGATTCACAAATGAGCTACCCTCCTTCCCTCAAAGAGTAAGGTTTCTGCTTTACAGGATTTTTTTCTTGGGTTATTTTTCCTCTCATCTTTTGAATTTGAAAAGAACTGAGGGAAGGCACCTGAAGAAACTTCTGACATACTCACTAGGGGAGTTCCAAAGCTTGTGCTGCCCCTAGGGGCAGTGTCAATGGCTCTTAAAGCTAGAAAGCTCATACTTGGAGTTGAAACAGGGGCTCAAAGAATCCATTTTCCCAGTGTACCTTCTGAAAGGATAAGTTTCAGGTAAGTAATTTTCTCTTACTTTGCAATATGCTTTATTTATATTTATGAAAGTACACAAGTCCAGCTCTCGAGGTACAGGGACAGCAGTATTTGTTCATAGTGTAGATTCCTAACCTTTACCGAATGTCAGAAATATAAAAACTTGTAAAATAAATGTGCTTATGAGATAAATACAATCATAATTTATTTTAAATCAATAATAAATAATTAAAGATGTAGTTGTAATCAGTTTATTGTGCTATCCTGTATCATTAAGTAAAATCTTGAGACTTATTTTTTTAATAAGAATCAAAAATGGTCTTTTGAACTCAATTTCCAAGCAGTGATTGATTAAAGTTGTGTTTGTATACATGTGTGCACATGTACATAAATACATATATACATACATAACAGGTTAGGATGATGGCAACTATTTACTTCAATGAGATCCTTTCTGTATGTATACTGACCAGAATGCATTATTCAAGTATTTTTTAAATATTTGTTTAATTTTTAAAAATTATCACAAAGACACTTTTGAGTTGTTATAGGTAAAATATTCAGTGTAATAGATACATATAGTGTGGATTTAGTTTCTCAATTGATACATTCTTTAGCGTCCTTCAAATATTTATACTCAGTTTTTCAATTACTAAATGTGAGATGGCTACTAAAGAATAATACAAAGTATATAGCAAAATGTTAAACATTCACTCAAATCAGTTTTCTGTATATTTTGTCATTGTCATTAAATCACACGCTGTTTAAGTATTTTAAAGTATTTCAAACATTTCATGTACTTTTCCTTGAGAAGTAGTTTTTAAGTAAAAGTTACATAGAACAGATAGCACTTTAACATATCGGTACATTTTTACTTACTATAAAAGCCAGTGATGACCAACAGTAGCCATTTTACAGCAGCTCTGAACTTGGAAGTAATCAGAAAAGACTTTTGAGTAGCAAGTTGCTACTACTAAGTATTTGCGTTTTTTCTCTGCACCTGGGAGTAGCAGTTATGTTCCGGTCACATAACTTGACAGTAGCTGAAATTGACAGCTATTTACAGTAGGAAAAAGAGTATGTGTTAGTTCAAATCTGAAATAGCAGCTTAAGGTCAAAGGATCAAGCTACATTATACCATGATTTCCTCCAGGGATATTATTCTTACTCTAGTGACAGTGAGTCACAGTTTTCTTGTCTAAGATGTTTATTTGTTTCACAGAAGATTGTGGGCAGCTTTATCAAAAGAGCTTTGAAATAGAAGGAAAAATTTAATACCAATGAATCAATAACTTTTTATGACTGAACTTTAGATTTGGCTTTGATCAGCCTTCTGACAGCCACCTGACAAATGAGAAAAATAAGTCATTCTATAGGTCTTATTCTTAGGGAATTCTCATTATTAGTTATCCATGAAGTACACACATTCTTTAAAAGGAAAATAAAGCTATACCAAACTCTTAACTTTGGAAAGAAATGTTGGATGAATTATTTAAAACAGAGGAATTCAGTGGTGAATTATCCTTGTTATCTTTAAGCATTTTTTAACCTTAGGGACTAGAGCACATCTTAGGGCTATGACAATATGCAGTAATCTTGATTGTTACATTCGAAAGCAGATATTATTTTAGAGCCTATTGTTTGATTCCAGGGTATCATCAGTTATAAGATGCAATATTGTTTTAATAATGGCTCTTGGGGAAAATAAGAACTGCTACATTAAGTAATTATGTATATTTTATGTGAAAATTAAGGACTATTAAGGTTTATTTTGGAAAGGTGACCATCAAAGGTGATCAGTGTCAACTAATTAAGTATTAAGTTCTATGATATGTGGTCCCCTCCCTGAAAAGAGGACAACAGAGAGGGTTTTATAATTTTACGCTGCCAATTATTTACGAGGTAATTTTTTTAGTAAGATGGACAGAAAACTTAAAAACCTCTATTGTTTGGCCAAAGAAAACCCATCTCCTCAGATGTGAGGGTAGTAATTGGATATATTAACACTTCTTTCAACATGAAGCATATGACAGGTGTGGTGTATATATATGATTGGTATCCTCTAATATATTTAGAAATATATTAGGCAAATCTTTAAAAATAAGGAAATGTAAAAGTAATGAGTTTTTGGAAAAAAAGGCATTTCTGAAACATAGATTTAGGTGTTTCTGGGATATGTCATAGTTGAATAACAGTTCGTAATTATGAATATGCTGAATTTTGATTTTCATATTAATATAGTAGGACATAGAATTTATTTTCTGAACCTATGTTTTCTGTCTTTTTAAGCTTCTTCCATTTTACTCTCTCTCTATTCTTTGGAGAACAGCTATACATTGAATGTTCTATGCTCATACTCTTATTGAGATCTTATGTCAGGGTAGGACTATTTTTTATATTATCCTTTTGTGTGTCCTGTTCACATCGCATAAGGCACTTGTATTGATCCTTCTCCAAGTAGTGCAAAAATGAGATAAATTTTTTTATTGCGGTCATAAAACTCATACAAGCCACAGTAACTCTGACCTATACATTTTTTTCTGTAATAGAGATCAAATCTTTGCATTTGTACAACAGAAGCTAAGCTTTTATTAATTTGTTACATTGAGAGAGTTTTCCTAAAACAAATTTTCTTGAATTGTATTCTTTGGGTTTACTTTCCAGTATAGCTTGATAGAGTGTTTAACAATGCTTCTAACTTTTAAGCTATTTTGTTTCCTTTAAGGTTCCAACAATTTGAAGTAGTTTTTAACATCATAAAACATTGATGATGTGTCATTTCTTTATTACCTTCCCAAATATGCCTTTTATTTTTATTTATGAGGGCTCTTGGGAATGATTCTCTCAGAGGCTTAAGCTGTGCTTTGCCTTTCATGAGAACTGAAATTATTTGGTAAGCGCTTGCTTTCTTTTTAGCTTCTAATTTTTCCCTATTTTATTTTGTACATGATATTTGTTTCAAGGTCAAAGGTTCCGTTACAGTTACTATGATGAATCCCAGGGGGAGATTTATAGATCCATTGAACATCTAGATAAAATGGTAAGTCTTTCAGGTGTGGGGTTTTAATGCTTTAAGGATTTTTCTTTAATTTCAGATTAGTGGTTCAAGACTTAATATGTTGAAATATACAGTGGAGTAATTTTTCCCTGTTGCTAAATGTATAAAATGTAATGTGTCAACGTATGAATATTAACTATAAGAATAATCCCTGTTCTATGAAGGAAATTTAGTAATTTCCTTCATAATTTTATTTGATTAATAAGAATATTTACGAATGGTTAGATATGGAGTTTAAGTTTTTGGAGAAGTGTCTTAGCCTTAGGGTATATGATAATATACTAATGCCATTACTTATTGTTAAGCAGTGGGAACCATAGCAGATGACAGTGTGTTTTGACTCTAATTCCTGTGTGTTTGATGGCTGCCTGAATATTTCTTTAGACTCTTTTTGAACTGTGTTGTTTCTTACAACTTACTAAATAACTTAGTCTATTTTTAGTTTTGGTAGCAGGCCAAACTATTATTCTTGAGCGATGCCAGACATTTTATTAAATAACTAATAAAAAGTTGTCTTCTGTAGGAGAAACTATATATAGGCTTGTTTTGTAAATAACGTAAATTTTTTAAATGCTTTATTGAAAGTTTTTATTCAATTAGTTTTTTTCTTCTGGAAATAAAGGCATCATAGTCTTATGCTAGTATACAGTAATTACAGCACATATAAAATTTAGCTGACTTAAATCTTGTCTGCTTATGCTAAAGGGACGTATATAAATACTTTGATTTATTTTAAAATTCCAGGCATGTTTATTTTAGAACTGCTTTTGACTTTTTCCTTCCTATTTTCCAGAACTTTTAAAAATGAACTGAAAAGTGAGATTTATGATTTCAAACGTAATAAATTTGTATCATTGCTGTATTTCTGTAAAATCTGCTATAAATCAGGTTATTATATATCTTAAGTTTCTTTTTGTTTTGATTTTCATTTCTTATTGATCTTAAGTGTATATATTGACACTTGTGCTTTAAGTTTCTATGGCCTGCAGCCTTTATGTCTTTTTTAAAAAGAGCTATAGAAAAAGCTTCAGAAAACAAAATTACTTTTATAAATGCAAATAATTTGTTTTCTCTCTCCTCTTGTCTTTTGCCCTTCCTATAATTTCTTAGTTTATTATTTTACTTTTGGGCATTTGGATTTTTCATAAGTGGAATTTTAATTTGTTATCTTAAACATAGAAATTTAAAATATATTTTTACCCAGTTTAGGAGACATTGATCCTAATGTCATTTTTTCTCTTTTTATTTCTTTTTCTTTTTTTTATTTTTTGAGACAGAATCTGCCTATTAAGGTCTGAATAAGGTCAATGCATTGTGATTGGTTATGCTTCATAAACTATTTATTTTTTTTGGAGACAGAGTGTCACTATGTTGCCCTTGGTAGAGTGCCCTGGCGTCACAGCTCACAGCAACATCCAACTCTTGGGCTTAGGCGATTCTCTTGCCTCAGCCTCCCAAGTAGCTAAGACTACAGGTGTCCACCACAACGCCCGCTATTTTTTTGTTGTAGTTGTCATTGTTATTTGGCAGGCCTGGAATGGGTTTGAACTCTCCAGCTCCAGTGTATGTGGCTGGCGTCCCAGCCACTGAGCTATAGGCGCCAAGCCCATTTTTTTCTTGAAGTGGTATGGTAGGCATAGTACTTACTTGAATTTTTTTTTTTTTTTTTTTTTTGAGACAGAGCCTCAAGCTATAGCCCTAGGTAGAGTGCTGTGGCATCACAGTAACCTCCAAATCCTGGGCTCAGGCAATTCTGCTGCCTCTGCCTCCCAAGTAGCTGGGACTGCAGCCACCTGCCACAATGCCTGGCTAATTTTGGTTACAGCCGTCATTGTTGTTTGGCGGGCCTGGGCTGGATTGAAACACGCCCTCTCAGGTGTGTGTGGCTGGAGCCTTAGCCTCTTGTTTTGTTTTTTTTTTTGAGACAGAGTCTCAAGCTGTCCCCTTGGGTAGAATGCTGTGGCGTCATAGTTCACAGCAACCGCTAGCTTGGACTTAAGTCATCCTCTTGCCTCAGATTTTCTGTTTTTAGTAGAGGTGGGGACTTGCTTTTTGCTCAGGCTGATCTTGAACTTGTGAACTCAAGCAGTCCACCTGCCCTGGCCTCCCAGGGTGCAAGGATTACAGGTGTGAGCCATGGTGCCTGGCCTTGAATTTTTTTAAATTAACACAAATAATTTTGATATCTGCTCATAAACATAGTGTTAGATATAGCAGAACTATCGCTAACTTTCTCTGTGACCTTTGAGTGATAATTTTAATTCCCTAGACATCAAGTCCTCATCTGTAAGAAGAGAAACTTAGACTAGGTGATCTCTAAATTATCTTTAAATTCTATCAGCCTGTAAGTCTGCTATCTGTTCAAATCAACTTTACCAATATGTGAGGCCTTATGTGTGTGTTTAACACAAGATTATTTAGTCTAAAGTAAGTAAAATATTTAAGTAAGGAAATCTGGATCTTAACCTATAGATAGGATATATCATATACTATACTTTATTAAAGCCATTCAGTCAGTTAACTCTTTTTTGGCTTCTAGTTTTGGTCTTTTTATTCTGAGTTTTGTCAGTTTCCTCTGAAAACATTTTTGTTTCTATTGCCATTTATTTTATTCATATAGTAAATGGTTAATGGTTGTCCCAGCAAATATTTAATGGGTGTATACTATCTGTATGGTACTATGAAGTATTGGAGATACTAAGAAGAGAAAATACGGTTCCCAACTTAGTGCGACTAAACAGCCTAGTGGTTGAACAGACTTAACAAAGAAGTCATTACAATACTGAGATGTCAGGTAGAATGAAAGGACTTTAGTAATTGATTAGCTACAGCATGTTAAAGGAGTGAAGAAATGTAGGATTGATTTCCGGGTTTTGTGCTTACATAGGTGTTGTTAGTCGCTCATACATGGAATATAAAGGGGCAGATTTAAGGACAGAAATGAATTCAATTTTAGATGTGGCTTTTGTGTTATGTTTACAACTGCACTTTTCAATACTGAAGCCACTATCTGCATATATTTGAACACTTGAAGTGTGTTAATATGACCTGAGAAGTACTGAGTGTAAAATACACATTGAATTTTGAATTCATGTTATAAAAAAATAAAATATCTCAAAAACAGTATTTTATCTTGTTCACATAAAATTGTATCTTAGATCATGTAAAATATAATATATTAAAATTTTACCTCTTTAATTTTATTTTTTAATATAGCTGCTAGAAAATTTAACATTATATGTATGGCCTGCCTTATATTTTTATTGGGCAGTGCCGATTTAGAACATGAAGGTAGGTTTAGATGAAGATAAACATTTTGAAATCACTGGTGAATAAAGGGTAGATAGAAAGAAATGGTATTAAAGTCATTTTCCAGATTGACTGATTTCCAGAAAGAGTAAGGGAGTGGGAAGAAAAGAGGGGTTAGGTCAGGGAGACATATCCACATTAAGGGGGTGAAGAGCTAAAGAGGAGCCCGTAGAACCCTGCCTAGAGGAGACAGAATGAGTGGTAACACAGAGAGTAGGGTGGAGGAGCATCAGATGCTACACAGACCTGAATTAAGTCAAGAACCTTGCAAGAGCAGTTCAGGTGAGGGCAGATGAAGGTTTTAGAAGTTAAATTGGAAAGAGGAGATGAAAAGCAACTGCCAAAATTTTTCTCTACTAGTTTGACTGTGATAGAAAGGAGCAATATTTGCATGTTATCTAGTTTTGTGGATGAGGGGGTGCAGGAAAGCATAAGAGAAGACTTTTTATTAGAGATGGAAATTGAGATCACTTTAAAATTTTCAGTAATGTTAATTCCTAATTTTAGGTCTTGGAGAGATTCTACTCTCAAGATTATATTTGCCATGTGATTCCCATTTCTGCTTCGTGTACTTCCTTATCTTTCTTTTTATTCATTTAGGAAAGAATATCCAAAAGGAGGATTGGCTGTGTATATGTAAAATATAAATTATTAGTGGTATACATGTAAATTTTCCCTTCATTAAAATTATTTTTGTTTTATTTAACCATATAGAAAATAATTTTAAAAGGTATTTCAGTATTAAAAATTTTCAAAGTAAGTATTTCTAGAAGTGGTTTTTAGCAAGTTTGCTCTAAATTTTATGAAAAAGCAGTGCTTTTCATACCAAAACTAGGAAGAATAACTCCAGCCAGGACTACTTTCTGGATATTTTCTTTTGGTTGCCTTATGGACAGCTCAGACTTCACATGTTCAAATTGAACTGCTTTCTTTCCACAAAATCCTATTCTCAAAGGCTTTCCCAATTCAGTTGATGGCAGTCATGTCCTTCCAGTTCCTAACTGGTCTTCTTAAACCTACTCTTGTCTTCTTCAGTCTCAAGTACCTTAAAGTAGGAATCAAAGCAATCCTTTAGAAACTTAAATCAAAGCATGTCACTTTTCTGCCTCATACCCTAACTAACCCTGCTAAACTCATGCCAGTTAGAGTAAAAGCTAGTGTCTCTACAATGTGTGCACTGTAAGGACCAACATGATCTGCACCCTTCGAAGGTAAAGAGCCTTCAGTTCTCTCTTAATTTGTTTACTCTGCTGTGGACACACTGGTCTCCTTACATAATGCCATGTATGTGCCCAGCTTCTGGCTTTTGCCCTTTTTGCACTTGACTGTCTCTAATTCAAGTTTTTGCTCAGCCCTTATCCTCCCACTGGGCCTTCTGAGTAGCCCATTAATTTTGCATCCTGCCCTCAACACTTACAACATTTCTAGTTTAACTTACCCTGCTCTCTGTTTCTTCTAACAATCTAAATAATTACTTATTACATTTTTGTCAGTATATTTGTTCTCTGATGTATCCATAATACCTAGAATAGTGATTAGAACATAATTAGCTGCCTAGTAAACATTTTTCATATGAATAATGAAAGCATATAATCTTCCTTTATGACAATTAAAAACATGCATATCCTAAATGTATTTGTAAGTAAAATAATAATTTATGAAAAATATGTATT